CACCGCCCCCAGCCGCCCTCGCTGGGGAACACCTATATCCTCCCCAAAGACAGCCAGGTCGGGCCCGACGTGAAATCTGAGGCTGCGCCCAAGCGCGCTCTGTACGAGTCGGTGTTCGGGTCTGGGGATATCTGCGGCCCCTCTTCCCCCAAAAGACTTTGTATTCGCCCCTCGGAGCCTGTGGATGCGGTGGTGGTGGTTTCCGTGAAACACGACCCCCTGCCTCTTCTTCCAGAAGCCAATGGGCACAGAAGCACCAATTCTCCCACAGTAGTTTCACCTGCTATTGTTTCCCCCACCCAGGTAACCAAACCAAACTCTATGCATGAAATGTTTCTTTGGTACCATTTCTGGACTAACTCCTGCTAACGCAGGTCTGGGTCCGGGCGGGGAGGAGTTTTAAAAAGTACTAAATATACTGAATCAGATTTGATTTGGTTTGATTTCACCCTTAGGAGCTTAACTCTTGTGCTTTTCAGGAAAGTTTATGCCTAACCTTAAAAGATGTTGAGAAGCCAAGGTCCCTAACATTTAGTGCTGAGCTGTAAGGCTAAAACTTCAAAGTTCTCAGAACAAAAGGGTTGGAGGCAGCCTGACTCTCCATTGAATGCATGAGTTTAATAAGGCACGGTGTAGGAATACCGCGCATATAAAGGAAGCAATTACTTAAAATATATTTGAGTAAAGTAACCATTAAAATACTCTTGCATATTCGCCATAGCTTACAAAGATTAAAACAAAAACGGTTATAAAAAAGAAAAAAGAAAACGTGCCAAGCCCACTTCCTGTAAGTGGGCGGGGAGTGGAGAGATTGGTAATCCAGTGCCAGTTTATACTGTAATAGGTAGCTGAATGTAAAGTGATGTTTGGGGTGCGCTTTCCATAAAATAAAGTCACTTGTTAATAGAAGGAAGGGGGATCAGCACTACCAGCCAGGCTCCCTGCCCGGTAGTGGGTAGCACCTAGGCAACAAACTTCACTGCCTCTCCCTAGCCCCATGGGGCTCACTATCTAGGGGGCAGGTAACACTTAAGAATATAGATATTTAATTAAGACAAACTGCGCAGTAGTGTGGCAAGGACATCCAAAGTTAAGAAGTTGTAGCCCAGAAGCTGAGCCCTTTGGGCAAATCAGTTTACCTCTCTGGACTTCAGAGTCCTCATCAAGGATTAGGGAACTGTTTCAGTATTAATATTAGTTAATTCTCAGCAGTACCAAATTCTAGGTTGAGATTGAGGACTTGAACGGATGCTTATTATTATTTTTCCTAGAGGAATATATTCCTATTACTAAAATTGTACTCATCTTTGGAATACTCTTCTCTGGGAGCCAGAAACGAGAGGTCTTTGGGGACCGTGCTCTATTCTGCAGGCAGGAGTAGCCACTGGAGGTTTTACAACTCTGACCTCCCTGGCATCATGCAGAAGTAGGAATTTCGACTGTAAGTCTGGAGGTGTAGTGCAGGCCCTTCAAGAAACAGATGTCAGGTACCTCTGTGCTTTTTCCAAAGTGGAAATTCCAGTTCTGGACAATCTGACCCTTTCAGAGGTTTACCAGCTAATCATCAAGGCCAACAGAGAAAGGGGCTGCGAATGAATTTAATATAAACAGCAAAGTTCTCTAAAATACACAAGACCTGCCGGCTATGTGTCTTTCTGTACTTCTATGTGCGTGGTACATTTCCGACAGACCAGGAGGTGGTTTTATGGAGTTGTAAGGGCGGAGAGGAGAATTCTTCTTTGGAGAATCTGGGTTTGCTTTTTCTTTAAGAGCAAAAATAAATGTTCACATTCTTCTGATAAAGTAAGACCCTTAAAATGTCCTGGTTTAGAGTGGCACCTGATTAATTGAGGAGTGAAAAGCCTGAGAAAGTTTAATATTAAAGTATATATCTGCTTGGAATAATAATGAAACAGTTTGCCTCCTGGCGTCAGTCTGCTAGTTTCTTGACATCAGTGTCCTATAGAATCGAGTTAAGATTCAAAAGATGGGAGGAGGGAGTTGTTCCGGTCGGTTTTGTTTTGGTCTAAGGAATGCAGTTGCTCTGTGACAGTCTTGTTTTAACTGAGTGAGATAAATCAGTTCTATAAATCTGAATACTGATTCATTTATTTTTCTTGAGTTACTGTCACGTAAATATAGATTACAATTAAAAATAGATTTGAGTGTCCATATGTTGGCTGATTGTTATTATGCAAAACATTATTATAGCTGAGTTCCTTGTAGTTAAAACACTACAAAAAGTTGTTCACGTATTAACACGCCTGCTTTTCACTTATGTTAAAGTAAGTTTTTAACCAGGATTAAGAAGTTTAAGGGAACTCTAGTGATTCCTGTAGAAGTCACCTTATGCGGTCTGAGCATTCTAAGAATGATGCAAATGTTGAGTTTCTGTAGAAAGCTGATATTAAACTTTTTCCTCTTGTATTTATTAAAATCACTGTAACCTTGAGGTCCAGGGCATTTCCTGGGGATTAATGACCGGCTGGGGTTAGTGGCCCAAGGCACTGCTTTAGGCAGTCACCTCCTCTTGGCTGGTCATTAATCTTCAGGAAATGCTGTTAGGTCATTAATCTTCAGGAAATGCATGCCTTCAGCTTCAGTCACTATTACTTAATTATGAACACAGGCTATCTAACCTTAATATTGGCCAGACTCCTCAAGTGGTATTGCAAGAACTCCACCGTTGACCATCTTATTCTAGACTTCTTGAGAATACTCACACCCCGATGCTTTGATTCTCTTCTAACGTTGCAAGTTTCTCAACAAACCAAGAGCCTAGAACTTTAAATGCATTTACTCTTTTTACTTCTTGAGAGTGTTCATAAGTGGGTCATTGAAAAATGAATGCATCCAAGGATTAACAATCATGGAATTTGTGATTTTTACTCACGTGAAGTTCCTGATTTTTGTTGGTTTTGTGGGGTGGGGAGGGGTTATGGTAGCGGTTGTGATGGTTGCTTTAAGAAGTTCACTCTAATTCCCTGGAATGGCTGTGGTAAAAGCAAAGGGTAGTTTCCATCTCCCCTCCTCCTGCATAGCTGTTGTGATCTAAGATGATCCACTTACTGGTGCGGCTTCTTAGTGCTCATGGAGATCACATGGTACATTTTAAAAGGCTTGGTTTAGCACAGCCCCTCCTACATTTTCGTAGCTGTTCTCTTTACATGAAAATACAGCATTCTTCCTGCCTCAGAGAACAGTTCCTCTGCTTAGATAGATGATAGAGATTTGTAACTTTAGTCTTTTTTATTTGCACACAACATAGTAAGGTTTAGATTCTAAATGTCATAGTTTTGTTGCTAAAGCTTTTATAGAGTGTGCCTCTCTCCAGTACCAAAGATGTGAGCATTAGCTCCCTAAAAGACATACTCAGGCACCTTTGTGAGCTTGTGACAAAGGTGTCTTCAGTTGCACGTGTTTGACTTTAACCCATATTACTTCTAGAAATACTTTTCAGGAATTCTGCAAGTAGGAAATCGAGTAGTGGAAAGAGTCTGGAGCTGGTGGTGCACATCCCCCGTGTCTGTTTCATTGACTTCACTAGGAGCCAGTCACACCTTATAGTGTCCCAGCGGAAAAGGAGAGCAGCCTGTCTGTGGGGCACATGCAGTTGTTCCTGACCTTGCCTTTGAGAAGTCAGATGTTGTTAGCACTGGGAAACCAGCTTTCATTCAGGTGCTTAGTGTGGGAAGGGAGAAGGGATATTCAATCTGTCTGCTTAATAGAAAAAACAAACAAACACAAGCATTTTATGCATTATTGAAAAAATCGCCAGTCTTATTTTTAATTTAGGAGGGCTACTCTCTTAAAGAGAGAATCCATCAAACTTCAATAAACGTGAAGGGAGTCATGGGTTTAACAGCCAGAGCAACTGTAACAAGTCTTTTTTGTAATGGTTATTTGGAGCTATTAGGATTAACTGCCTTGTTTAAATCAGGATATTTCCCTGATTTTTAATGTTAGCTGTGGCTGCCTTCCTTTTTTCTACTGTAGGAGTAGTTGCTCTCCCGTTCAGATTGGTGGAAAAAGTAAATGTCAGTAACATTAAGTGTGTAACTTTTTTCATTCATTCAGGAAGCAGTTATTGAGCACCTACTCTTTTGGCTTTGGTACCAGGAATCTTTATAAATTAATCCATTTTCCGCTTGGCAAGTAGTTGCATTGGCAAGATTTTGGCCTCATGAAGTATTAAAACCAGATCAAAATAAGGAAAGTTAAAAGGTGATATACTTAATGGTTTGCAGCAGTCATTTTGGGAAAGAAATCTGTATTCTTAACTCTTGCGTGTTATTATTGCAATCATTATGCAAATGAAGTGTTCTAAATTGCTGTAAACCCACACGTATGTCAGCTCACTATCTATTAAATCTGACCCAGGAAACAGGAAGAGAAGTATTTGCTGCCAAATGAGAAAGTGGTTCCCATTCATTTAAAACTTAAATCCTTTGGGGCGCCTGGGTGGCTCAGTCGGTTGAGCGTCTGACTTTGGCTCAGGTCATGATCTCACAGCTCGTGAGTTCGAGCCCCGCGTCGGGCTCTGTGCTGACAGCTCAGAGCCTGGAGCCTGCTTCTGCTTCTGTGTCTCCCTCTCTCTCTGCCCCTAACCCCCTCGCATTCTGTCTCTGTCTCTGTCAAAAATAAATACACATTAAAAAAAAAAACAACAAAAAAAATTTAAATCCTTGAATCATCTTGATTTTAGAATCTGGCTCCCCAAACAAATGTTACCTAACAGGCCACCCTCTTGTCACTGCAGGTAAGAGTCCCTTTTTCTAATAGGACTGCTTGTTGTATGTGAGACTGTTTAAAGCTGGCTCTGCCTTGGCCCAGGCCAGTCAAAACTCCAATTATTTAATAGAAAGTTAAGTTTCAGGTTACCTTGTGGCGTCTTAGCTGCCATTTCAAAAGCAGAATTGATGCAGGAATTGAGACGTGGTTCCCGGTGTTGCAAATCTTGGGAACAAACCTATAGGCTGGCAATCTGTGGGTTTGTCACATGCTAGAACTTTATTTGTTGAGCCTGTTTTTACCTCTCGTGATTGATCCTTCACTGTATTATACTAGTTAATCAGGATGCCTTTCTAAAGACTTCTCTGGAGAATTTAGATAGGGTGAAGGTGGAGGAAATTAGTTGGTCCAGAAGGGCCTATCAACTGACCTTGATAAACTAAACTGAGAGAAAACGTAACTTTCAGATTTGAGACATTGCATGCGCAAACTTTTTTAGTCACCACTAGTGGTGTTCCAAAGACCCTGAATTCAGTTCAAGAACCTCCTTTTACCTGCTAAGTGCTACCTCC